GTATATATATATATATATAATTATAATTTTAAAAGTTCATATTAGTGGTCCGTGGGATTAAAAATTATGAATTTAGTGGTCCATGAGGTCCGAAAGGTTGGCGACCGCCGATTTAAATGGCAATCAATCGGGTTGCAAGCTGCAATGAAGATTGACTTTCAGCAGATAAAAGTTAGAAAGTGATTGCTGTGAGTTGTCTTACAAAGGTCTTTCCTCATATATAGTTTTCTAAATAAGGCATTATTCGTAATACTGGCAATCAGATATGACAGTGCTGATCTTACAATTTGAAGCTTTTAGTAAAGTGGGTGCCCTTTGACATGCATACACAAATGAGCTGTCACACAATATTTAATTCATGTCAGGGGTCCCTGACATGCACAAGACCAATCGAGGTTCCCTCCATTATGCGGTTTCATCCTTTTGTCTTATTTATTTTATTTGATATAACCAAAAAAAGTATTCACTTACACACTTAGGGGTTAATTTACTAAAGGCAAGTAGGCTGTTCACTTTACAAGGGAATTTGCACTTGGCTGTGTTCATAATTAGACCTTGCTGCAACTCAGAGAAAAATTCCTTGCAAAGTCCTTCACAAAAGACGAGCACTTTCTATAATCAATTTATGTAGATGGGGAGGATTCTGTGTTGAATAAAAGTTTATTGTAATTGGGGGTCAAATAAATCTGTAATTAGTGGTCAGAGAACTAGTATGCTAGCGATTTGTATTCAGAGTATATCTGACCAATATGTTTTAGTGAACTGGTAAAATGATCCTTTTGACCTTTGTTGGTTGACTTCATTCTTGCAAAGTATGCCAGGTTTCACCTCCCACCATTCAAATTCCCTTCCATGGTGTTACTAGTTCCCCTACTCTCATTGCTGAATGGACATAGGATCCCTGTACAATTTCAGTTATAGCTGGCAATCCATGGTGGACAATCCATTCTGCAAGTGGGAATTGCTTCTACATTGTCCAGAACCAACAGAAGCAGGAAGTTGTCTAAGGATTGGTTGCCTACTACAAGCCAAAATCTTTTTGAAGCATTTTTTAAATTCCAAATCATGTAATCAAAAGTAAAAAGTAGATATGCATGAATTACTTTTTAAATGTAAACATTTTTAATAAAATGTTGTGTTTTAGTCATTGTTCCAGATTTTTGGTTTTATCATCATGGCTTTTATGCCATATCCATAGAGGAGCACCATCTGCCAATGCAGTCATAAAGTTGAATTACACATAGATCAAGTCAACTGGCTCCAACTGAAGTTTCCAATAGGCACACATAATAATAGATAAATTCAGCAACAAAAACAAGCTATAAACAAGTAGTCAATATTGAAGGTATAGTCCAACTTAATAGCAGGTTTCAATTACAGGTGGTGTCTAGTGGGCCGAGTAACCCACTGGTTTCTTAATTCTCCTAGGGACTCTGTCTGCAAAATCTCCCTACTAGATTTGAGTGTTCCAGCTTTTCCTGTTCTATTCTCTAAATTATATAATAAATTAAAAGTCTAGTAGGGACAGTATGAGCCTCCTAGTACTGACTGGTGCTGATATGCAGACATAGGAAATGAAGCAAATACATCTCACCTTCAAAGTCCCAAAGATATAGGAAAACATTAAGGTGGCTTAACTCTCATTGCCAACCAACAATGAAACTATTAGTATGAGTATGGACTGGTTTCGTCTTTCTCCTCAAAACTCTATATTTAAAATCTCCCTACTAGAGGTTCCTGGCTCTGTTCCCACCAATCCTTAACATTTTAGGTGCTCCCATCCATTTTGCAGTATTTCAGCTTTTCCTGATGCATTCTCCACAATATATTAGAAACTAAAAATCCAACAGGGACAAGACAAAAGAGAGGAGCCATTGGTTAAATTAAATTTCCATTGATTAATAAAAATGAACTATTAATACTGGGTGGACCAACCTTTTATGGGGCTTGTGCACACCAGCATCTGGAATGTGACATGGTCAGTTTGAGATCAGTTTGTACTTTGCTTTTAATCCTCCATGTAATAAATGAATAGCCAATACAGTACATAGTAAATGCATCTCAAACACCCATGTACACTAGCCCTAATATGTACCATATCAAATTCATCTTTTTGTTAACTTCATTGAATCTTATTAGTGGTAAAATTTTCAATTAAACACAATTACATTCTGCGCTATAAACTCATTCTTATAGAATCATTACATGCTACATGTTTTTTTGTAATGGTTTCCACAAAGAACAGAATATATTATTATACTGCCTGTCATACAATGACAGAATTGTATGTTTTTACATAATTTTAAGGAAATGTTACCTTAAGCTCAAATATAATTAATATTTTACAAGATTTGCCCTTTTGGGTCTGTCATATGAAGTATAAAGTGTGTGAGGTGAAATAAGGCAGTCGTCAGTCTGTTCAGATGCCCGTCTGGGAGTCTGATAACCATTCAAACCTTTCATATTCTTGCTCCTTTCATATATGCTAGACTTGTCAAGCCTGAAGCCAGTAGCACTCAGTGCATTCACTTCGTGTATTCATCTTTAGGCATTTTAATTCAAGTTACTTAACTGGTGAGTTCAAAAAGTGTTTGTGACATTCAACTTTTTTGTTTTGCTATTTAAAATGCGCATGCTTGTTAGATATGGTATTTTTCACCTGATTTGCACAAAAGACTCCTTCACCTTTCCTTCCGTTAAAGACACTCATGCCAGTCACTTTACGCAGACTTTAGACTTGGTTAACTTGGTTGAATGCAAAACAAGCTATGTTAGTAACAATTGATTGCAATGCATTTTATCTTTATGTGTGCAAACAATGCTAAGAGGTTCTCTGATTGTTCTACTGATCTCGTGGCTAAAGTAATTAGTCACAGCCTCAGAATGAGTATGAACATTAGGAGAGACCTACACTCCTGACTGTCATGCTTATTGTAGACTAGTGTCTTTAAGTAAGGGAGAAAAAGACATCAAGGCCACTGGTATTTTCAGCAGAAGGTCAGAAATGGCATGACCACAGTTCTCCCAGGAGAGGTTTCTAGTCAAGGTTGGCAATTTACCAATAACCAGAAGTACTGGTGTGTCTAAATGGATTTGCAGGCTGCTATGACATAGTTATGTAGTACTAATGTAAGAGAATGCACCACAGCCTCAGTATTTGCCCCACAGCACTGTACTGGGTTGACTGTGGTAGCATTAGGTCTTAATTTGACTTACCCAACCAAATTGGGAGCTCTTCAATACTAAACATCCTTATTTTAGAGAGATGGATGTAACATGTAGCAGTCTGAATAAAGTCGATGATACACTATTCAAATCTCCATGCTGGAAATAAACTTTGCACTGTTTTCTTCCATTTGTTCTGTATAATATTAAACCAATAACAAATAATTCAGAATAACTGGATTTGCACATTGTAGGTTATTTATGACAGAGCTACTGAATTCAGCATCATCACCGGCTAACTGTTGTAACCAAGGTAATGATGTGCCCAGGTTATTGCGAGGAAACACATCCAGTGACATTCTGCTATTTCTGATATAGATTCCACAGAATGCAGCCAACGTTACCCACCAGCAATATAAAACATTAGTGATTACTTTTAAAGTATTCTTCTTGAAAGCTTCTTTCAACTTAGAAGTACATTTATCTCCACGGCTTAGAAAAAAAGATTTATTTTTTTCCCTTTCAAGAAATTTCTGAGCATAAAAAAACTAATTTTCAGACTCACTGATCTTCAAATTCTGTCTCTTTTCTATTAAAAAAATTAGGAATCACGTCTATAACATTTTTTTTTCTTTCTCTCATACTGTTATCCAAAGACTCTTTGTAGTTGCCATCCTAAAACCATTAAACTAATTGTGTCTTTCCCAGTCGTGAGGATGGTTAACAATCGGGTAGAAATATCATCTTCCAAGATATACTTGTTAATCCTATGAACTTGTCAAAAAATATCCTCTAATATAAAGAAACTGCAAGCTTTATGGCAAACGATTTTATTTCATTTTCAATCAATGAGACAACCCCTGAGATCTTGGAACTGCAATGCTTCTGGTTGCAAAATACTAAAGTCTGCATTTCTCAAAGGAATCCTCCCTGTCCAAGATTCTCTGCATTGGCTTAAAGATAGATTAGTGCTCCACAGTCAGTAACTGCTGAGTGACACATGTACTTGTACATAATTTGAAACCCCTACAGCTTAAAGGGAAAGTGTAGTGAACTGGGGCCAATTTAATTTTTTGTGTGTTAGTTTTTTAAACTGATGTTTTATATTTTTATTATATTTGTCTAAACTATTTTCTGGAAAATAAAATTTTTATATAGGGGGCACCCATGATACAGGACTTGCAGAGCATTATGAGTGACCACAACAGCAGCTGTTTGCCTCTCTATCTCTAGTGGAATCAATCAACACCTGAACACAGAAGGAAGAGGAAGGGAAAGGCCTGCCATGACTAATTCATTTGTGTGTGTAAATTTCAGGTTGTGTTACTGAGCTCTTTAAAACATGCTTTTTTTTTTTTTTAGCAGACGGAACATCCTTCTGTGTTTAGGAGGAGCTCCTTCCAGCTTCAGAGGAGCTCAGGTTCAGACTGGGGTTGGTCCAAAACTGAACTCATCCCTATTCCTGACTGTAATTAATAAAATAATATATATGTAAAACCACTATACATTCCTTTTAAAAAGCTAATTATCTTATGCCTTAAAAAGTCATGTATTTTTTTATACGCACATTATAAGATCTGCATAAAATGGTCCGATGTGGATTCTTGTATTAAAAGTTACAGTTTAAGCAAGGTCGTTCCAAAAGAGAATGACATTCATTAGCAGACAGCCTAGTTTCTTGCATTTACCCTTATGCATTTCAGTAAAACATATGTTAACACGTATAACTAAAGGTGGGGCCATTCATTTTGAATTGCACCACAACACATGCATTTTAGTGCACCACAATGCATGATTTGAACCATTTGTGTGTTGTGTTGCACTGTGTTAATTATGTTGCAGGTCTATTAAAATCTGCATTCGGGTTCATTGGCAGCCCTTTCAACATGAACCAGTGGGAAGGGGGCCCTAAAAGTTTTGTCAGTCAAGTAAATATGAAATGCATTTAAATATTCTGTATTCTTTTATCCAATGAACAATGGAAATCTAGTTGATTTTTCATATTTACCCAATGAGGTGGAAATCTAGTTTATTTTTCACATTTAGCTCTTTCAGGGTATAGCTGTCCTATTTTTGCAGAATTTCACTCACAACAGCGGTGACTTATTGAATATCAGAGGGATCAGCACAGAGTTTTCATCAGACAAGCGGAGATGCAAAGTAAGCTTATTAAGTTCTGCTTTCTCTTTAGTTAACGAATACTGCTGTGGCAATCCTTTGTCATTAATAAAATGTTTGTTTGTAAAACAAAGATTATATATATAAAACTACATGTTATAAACAAATGGAGGGTAATTTATCAAAACTGTTTTGACTTAAAAAAAACAAGCAAAAAAAAAGTCCCTATATCACTTTTACTGGTTATTTATGTACACACCGAGCAAGAAAAGTAAAGTTCTTACAGTTATATTTTATTGCGGATATCTGTAGACAGCACACGATTATGATACTATTGATATACATATTTTTGTTATCAACTACTGGTTTATCAACTTTTCATCCTTCATTTTTTCTCAGTTACCAATTAAACTTCTCTTTTCTTTCATTTGAAAAGTGCATCAATGTGGTCTTTTCCATATATGTTGTTGGGGTGCATATTATTTTTAGTTTCAAATGGCTGCAATTTGACATTCTTGAAATCTGTAATACACACATATGATGATATCATAACTTGTGAAGGAAGGTTAGACCAAAGGGTAAACAGTGAGTGGGAGGGTAAGTATTAGAATGTGCCAGCGCTATAGAACAATGAGCTCCATAGCAACCATAACATCTGCAATCCCCATATTTACATGCTTTATATTGAAACCCAGCATGGAAATGAATGCTTGTTCGATGTGTGGCTGCTATACAGGCAATTGTTACCTGTGTATTTCCTCATACAACACTACATACATACTCATGCCCTCAGCAATGCAGCATGTAAAGTGCTTGTATAACATTCCAACCTCCTATGCTTATTGTTTTAAGATAAAGGATTTTTTCAAAGCATGCTGGTTTACTTTGCTGCAGAACAAGGTCTCCTGTAGACGTAAATAAAGTTAATTGGATGCCACAAATTCAGCACTTCTCTTACATCAATAATTAGAGGTAGACTGCACTGGTGACTCCACAGCAATAATAATATTGCAACTACAGCCTGCTTAGAACACTATCATTGTTACGGCTAAAGGCGGTCATGCATTGCATTGCAGAAGGCTAATATGTGATAGCGTCTCATAGTTACAGCACACACTCATTTTCTAATAGGTCACAGACTGCCCTACATAAAGCCTATTTTAATGATACATTTGACAAAACACACAGATTATGTAAAGTATAAGACTATTGTTGCCGCTACAAAGCCACTCAGGTGACTTAAAGTGTATTTCCATTTTTGCCGTCAAATTTGGGAAAGCCCCCACTGTATTAGGGCTGCAACAACTAATTGACTAAATCGATTATAATCGATGATTGAAAAAGTTGTCAACTTTTTCAATCATCGATTAACCGGCTTCTGATTAGTTGGCCCTGTTCACGGCTCCACACACGCTGCGCGCCGCACCTCCTCCCCACCTCACGCTTGTCACTGCCAGACCCGCTCGCCCGCATCCAAGCTTCACACGCCACACCTCCTTGCCGCCTCACACTTACAGCAATAGTACATTATACAGCGCAATGCAGAATACCGCCAGCTATAATGTACTATTGCTGGGATTTGTTGTATTCCTCTATAGCTGGTGGTATTCTGCATTGTGCTGTATAATGTACTATTGCTGGGTTTTGTAGTCCTCTATAGCAAGTGCCATTCTGCATTAATTGCTGTATAATTTTATACTTTCCATTTCACTATATTGCACACCACACTTTTTTTTTTCTTTTTTACTTCCACCGCTCCAAGCTTGCTGGTGATGGACTACAATCTCAATACAAACTAGTAGTCCCATCAATGGAGCCATTTTTAAAAATGTATTTGAGTTTTTATCC